CTACTTTTCTGTTGCCTATCTAACCGCATGGCAAGGTTTTTGTATCCAGGGCGAATTGGTTTATATTGAGTCATTAAAGAATATGCAGGAACGTAGAGTTGTCCGGGACAAGTCAAGATAACAATAGGGACCTACATGGAATATGAATATGCTTTAGTCTAGGTTGCAAGTAAAAAGATAATTTCTGTGGGATGTATTCACTCTACTTTGAAAAGGTGAAAAAGGACTGATGAATGAATTTTTCCACAAGATTGGATAGACCTTAATTGAATTTCACATAGTCTTGCTTCCCAAAAGGCATTCTCATCTAGACGAAATTGACTGCACTTTCAACCTCTCTTTGTCTCCTCATCACCTCCAAAAGGACTCGAAATAGGGTGAATGCATCACATATATATACATGATCAACTGGTAGTTTAGAAAATCTACTTATAAACGAAAAAAAGTAATCTAGTTGATTGTGTAGCAAATACAACATCGCTACATCGACATTATCTCGACAGAATGATTCGTCTTCCTTAAAATTCACAGCCGCCCTGTGTTTCACTTGCACTCGTGGCAATCTGGCGTAGTGGTTAACGTGTCAAGAGTACACGCTGCACTATAAAACCCTGATTCGAGTCCCGTCGGATGTGCTGATGAAGCTGCAGTATACTCCTGTCTGCATGATAATACCTTTCTGAGAAGCAGGGCTATGTGAAATTTAGTGGAAACGTAAGGTCTATTTATATAATTGTGGATAAATTCAATTACCAGGCCTTCATCATCTCAACGAGATAGAACGATTACATCCCACATGTATGCTCTATTGGTAGTCTCAAAATGCTACTTATAAACGAAAAAAGATCATTGTCCGTCTTGGAAACAATGAAAGCTTAAGACGAATGTACGCATCTGAGTGACTGGCACTTCAGCATGATGAATTAATTAGACTCAAGCTTGTAAGTTTGATAATTTTTGCATCCAGAAAAGATTGCAGTCTGGAAAACTTTAGCAAGATCCTGTTTCCCAACATGCGTTGGAAGACAAGAAAATTCGTCAGACACCCGGATATATGGCCCTTGTGACTTTTATTAGAGGGCAGGCCTTAAAAAGCCTACATGTAGGAGGCAAACAAAGATGTGTATTAGATACAATGGGCAATATGTAATTGGAAGGTGTTAAGACCAAGATGGTGTGATCTATTATATAGTCGCGTTCCTTTAGTTGTGTAGAAGTTGTTTGACCTTATGTTAGCAACTTGATCGTACTTTCAGCAAGACCGAGAGGAAGGCACTTTGCTTGGAGTCCATAGTATCCATGACCATTTCCAGAGTCGGACGGTAGACATGGTATTATCCCAGACGTTTTACCGGAACCATATTCGGTATAGTCAATGAGCCTTGCTGGTCTTAGCACCACACTACAATTCGTCAAGGGGCAAGTGAAGTCGATCCTTTGACCAATTGTGTGCTAAACAGTTGTGGTATCCGGCTGTATTCACCCATCCTATATCTTAGTGTCATCCCTTAACTATCCCAATTTCTTACCTGTATATTTAAGCCTAATTCAAGCGTGCTCTTTTAAAGGGATTTGATGAGACCATATTATGAAAATAAGTAATATTTTAAAAAATAAATAAATAAAATCGGAAGTCAGGAGGACAACCAAAAGTGGATATGCCTAACCTCGTGTAAACCGAGTCAGAAATCACGACGATTATAAAGAAAATGAAATATCCAAGTTATCACGAAGAAGGAGAAAACCTGACACAGACGCAACACGAGGTTAACAATATGGATTTCTTTGGAGTGTATCGTATAAAATGCGGCAACAACTATCAAAAGTATATTGGTAAAACAGAAAGAAAAATCAGCCTACAAATCAAGGAACAGCACAGATTCTGCAGAAACGTTGATACAAAAAGATCTAAAATAGTGAAACACATTGCACGGACAGCACATGAAATCGACAGAAAGACAGCCCGCAAACTATGAAAATAAAAGAAATGCAAGATTCGAGAAGCCATCAGTATCCTGACTGAAATAAATCAAATGAATAAGAGGCTGGAAGAGGGCAGAATTATAAAAATTTTGCATATTGCTTAGGAAAACTCAGAGGAGATCAAGGAACAGCAAGATTAACCAAAAAAGACGACTATATCAAGAAAATATTTTCAATTTGAGGAAAAAAATTGCAAGGAGACCACAGAGGCACAATTGGAAACCAAGAGGATACTCAAATAAAGTATAACTATGATATTTGGGAGTCGGCGCAAAAGATACTAGGGCATAAGAAAGTCATGGACTTGGCATTATGGATAGAAAAGCGAGATATGCGGCGAGGACCATCAATAGTTGGCTATTAATAGATAAGTTTGATCATAGACGTGGTGCGTGAAGTAAGGGCTTAATCAAGAGATTTACCCGGTGCACATGCCGAACAGTGATAAAGGAATCTGCAGTGTCAAATTAGCTTTGCATCCAGTTTTAGAATCCGGACTTTAGGAGGATACGTGCTATTCAAGACTTGAGGCAGAGTGTGCAGAAAAACGCCTCGAATAGCACGGATACGGTGGCAGTGGTTGAGTGAAATCATTGAACCAAGGGAAAAGATACGGATCCTACAGGGCAAGAGAAAAACTCTCAGAGGACCTGGACGAAGAGGATTACGAGCTAAAAGAGTATAATATATGAAGAACAAGATGTTGTGGCCTCTGAGATGACAGAAATATAAGTGATAGTGTAACCGTTTTCGGCAGAACGGTTGTCGAGGCATTGACTTTACTTGTCTCTCTGACGAGTTCGTAGCTTGGTGTGGAGAATGGCAAAGCTCACTGATGATGCCGACTACGATGCTGGCGAAACGTTTGAGAATGTATCAAGTTCACTGTCAGATGTTGGGAATCATGACAAATACTATGGCAGATGACTTCGGACTAGGTGCATTCTACATAGTCCCCCTGACAACAAAACCAAGTTGCGACGAGGTGAACCCACTTCTATAAAAGAGTAGACTTGGATTAACACTCCCAGAAACGTGGTAATGGATGAGGGAAGCAGTGGGTAGTGTAAATAGGTCCCACTAAACCCTCTCACAAGGGCACATTCGAACTAGGTCTAGAGAAACAAGTAAAAAATTGTGATAATGAAGATTTTTTTACGAGGATATAGGATAGATGAATATACAATGAGAGTGGGGATACCACAACTGTTCAGAAGACAATTGGTCAAAGGATAAAATTCACTTGTCTCTTTGAGGAATTGTAGTTTGATGCTAAGACTTTCAAGGCTTGCTGATGATGCCGACTACGATGTCGGCGGGCCGTCCGGTAAGGTACCAGACAAGGTATTGCCAGAAGAGCTCAAAACCATAATAGAGTAGTTATATGCATTGTCCACCAGGAGGAGATGAGCACAGAGCATATATACAATTAATTTAGTATCCACGACACATCACAACTAAACTGTAGTCAGATGGGTCGGATGTAGCTGGTCTGGGGGTTGGTAAACCTTTTCATCGTAGAATTCGGTAGCCAACTAGTGACGGTCTGGATGGCAAAGAACGTAAGTCCTTCCCGAGCGATTATTTCTGCCTTTTCAGCCTCTAAATGCATTCCTTTTCTCCACAGACGATTGCAAGTGCTCATTCTGTCGACATTAACCCATTCATTATATAAAAATTAGACTGATGCATCTCAGAAAATTGTAGGTAGATAATAAAAGTCAAAGATAACTAAATAAATAAGATATAATCAAATTCGAAAGGCTCACGAGGACGGTTTTGACTTTCATTGCGGCATCCGTCAGTTCACGAAGAGCCGTCCGATCAACAGAGACGCGTTGAACAGGTGCCGTGGATGCGGCTGAAAGCATCTGAAACCACCCAGTCCGAGGGCGGCCCATCTTGTAGGTCGGGCAGAGGTAAAAAGAAAGAGCGAAACAATAAAGTAAATTCAAAACAGTTTCTTTGTCAAGAAGGAGAATTTTACTATAAAAAATGATGAAAAAGAGTATATTAGAGGCGTTTTCACATAATAAATAATAGAATCGCTGTTGCTAAGCAGGCATTAATTATGGCCTCAAAAAGTCTTTGCTTCTCAAGCCAGGGGTTGCATATACAAGATAACTTACTTTTCAAGCCTTAGTATAAAGGCAAACCAGACAAAATTCATTAAATCATTCATTATCTTTAGCAAATTTTTCCAATTTTATACCACTGAAATATTAATGGATTAGTGGGAAAAAATGGAGGATGAGCCAAGACCTTGAAGAGTAGAGTAAGGATATTTTTGGAACCGATCTGTCCAGATGGCTAGTAAAGCTCATAGGGCGATGGCGACAGAGCGGTGGCATTTATAAGTGACTCGACTGCAGGCAAATAAAAATGTCTCCAGTATGGTTTTTTAGGTACTGGTGATTCAGCTAGCCCAGAACTATTAAGGGATAAAGTTTAATTTTGCAATGCTAATTGATAGCTACGGGCTTTTTCTAATCAACAGTGGGCCGAAACCCTACTCAATTATGACTACAAATCTTTTAACTTGTAATATTCTCTATTTAATTAGTTACTTTACTCTCAAACAACAGGCTACTGACAAAAATTGAGTAAAGTATGATGTATAATGGTAAACAAATATTTGTCAAGAGATAATAATCTACAATTTCAGCTGCAAATCAATCCCCCTACAGTTCCCGGTGAGACCAACCTACGAATCCTTTCAAACTGACTCTTAAAATGAAAATAAAGGTACTTCAACATCAAAATTCTATAGCCTTGCTTCCAGAAAAATATTTGCATCCAGGTTGGAGTGGACTTCAATTTATACCTCTCATGGGTCGCCTTAGCAACCCCAGCGGGATTCAAAACCGAGATATGGTAGTACAACGCTGGCTTTATCCTTAATCTTTACTCCAGCCAAGTTACAAAAAAACGGTTGGAGTTTTACAATCTATGGTTATTCGGAGCATAAGACTACTCGATAA